GATAGTCATTTTGCTGAAGGGATTACTGGTGCCGATTTTATCCTTTATGTTGCTGCTGGGCCGACGCATGACGTGAATGTCGCGTGGGGCGTACCGTGTGCTCTCAGGAGTGGTGGTCGACCCGCTGTTGGTGCTCTCAACTTTGGTCCGCAGCACATCTCTTCAAGGCAGGACCTCTCGCGTGCCGTTGCACATGAGATTGCACACGCTCTTGGATTTTCCGTTCAACTCTTTGCTGAAAGCAAAATGGTCACCAAGTTGTCCAAAATTCGTGGCAAATCCAACGTCCTCGTAGTGTCTTCCGAAAAGACACGGGAGGTGACGCGGAAACATTTTAACTGCGATAGGGCGCCTGGTATGGAGCTGGAGGATGAGGGTGGTGCGGGGACGGCGCAGTCTCACTGGGAGCGGCGGAACGCAAAGGATGAGATAATGGCGGGTGTTGCTGGGATCGGGTACTACTCCGCCATGACGATGGCTGCATTTGAGGATTTGGGGTATTACCGCGCTAATTGGGGCATGGAGGAGGTGATGGGGTGGGGCAGAAACACTGGATGCGATTTTCTGGAAGAGAAATGCGTAAACAATGGTACCACGAAATACCCTGATATGTTCTGCGTCGATGGTTCCTTTCTATTTCAATGCACATCCGATCATTTGGCGCTGGGGGTTTGCGGCTTGTTTCATTTTGGACGGGATCTGCATCCGGTGTATAGGTACTTTAAATACCCTTTTATGGGCGGCTCACCGAATGAATTGACGGATTACTGTCCTGTTATTATGCCGTCGGGGGAAGGCGCATGCACCAATACTCTGAACAATTTTACTGGGTGTCGTGTGGGGCCCAATTCGCGATGCGTGGAAAGCGACTTGCTTCGCTTCAACTCGGTGACCATTGGTGCCATCTGCGTGGAGGTATCGTGCGAACATAAAGGGGTTGCAAGCATACGGTACGTGGGAGATGACACCTGGTATCCTTGCCCAGAGGGGCACCGGTTGAAACCAGGACCTCCATTCACCCGCGGCCACATTATCTGCCCAAGATACACGGATATTTGCACCACCCTTGCTTCTGCCGTCTTGAAACCTACGCTCGATAACAACACCTTCCAGAACCTGCTTACGCCTGTGGAGGGCCCAGTGCAGAGGAGCCTCTCGAAGCCCTTGGAGATGAAAAAAACCGACGCCAGGAAAAAACACTTCGGGGTGGATGCAGGCAGCGTTGCCGTTACTCCCAGTTTGCCTTGGCTGCTTCTTTGCTCTCTCTTGGGCGCTTTGCTCGGAATATGACGGCTTAGCCGCCCACGGGAGAACCGACCGCCGGTGCACCCACAGCCCTCCACCACCACGCATAAGAATGCAACAACAACAACAAATAGGCAAACAAACAAACATCAAAAAAGAAAAAAATTAGCTATATATATATATTATATATAGTTAACCAATTTGCTTTTAAATATTCCTGGTGAATGAAGATTTTTTTTTTTTGAGACACGATTTAGATTTAAGCCATTGATGCCTCAGTTTGTTGCATGGATGTTGCTGCATCGCATTTCTTCTTTTTTTTTATTATCTTTTTTTGCTTCGCCTTTTGTACGATTTCTTTTTTTTCTTTTTTTTTTACTTTTTGGATGCTTCACAAACAAACGACGTATTTTACCGCGTCCACCGCGGAAGCATACATGTGCGTGTTGGAAAATATCTTGAGAGCACCACACACCCACACACAAATAATCATACGGAAAAAAAGACAGAAGGCAGAAACGTAACAATCGAACATGCACGCTTTTGATAAGACCAAACCATTTTGGCAGTGTTTTCGAAGTAATCGTCCGACACCCCTCACTTTGCTCACCATTCATTCAGCCCTTCTTTGTTTTATACACTGCTCTTTTTCAGCGATGTCATGATGCTGCTTCTGCCGTGATCCTCTGCGAAGGGTGGAAAATGAAGAATAACTTTTTTTCCTTTTTTTTTCTTTTACCGCGGGCCCTTTATATATATATATGTATATGTATTGGATCGCAGATAATAGAAATAGAGTATATTGCAGGGATGGATTGTTGACCGCACATCGTTACACCCTGTGTTGCGAGCAGTGCTTAAGCGTGGTGCGGGCTCGTGTTCCACGGGGCAATCCGAGGTGCCCGTGCGCTGTGCTCTGCCGCGGTGGTGCCTTCTGGTAGTCCCGGAGATGATAAGTGCCATGTACTGCGCCCTTTCTTCCTCCTTCCCTCCGCTCCTTTTCTGCCTTCTTTGCTGCTGCGTGATGATCTCGCTGACTGAGTGTGCCTTTTTCGATGCGCCCTGCGCCGTGAAATGAGTTCTGGCGGTTGGTCCTTCCCGGGGCCTCACTGACGTTCCCCTGCCTCGTGTCTGCAGCGCACGCACCAGCCCCGTGCACACCGCCGTTGCTTTTATGCGCTTCCCCCCCTTTTTTTTTTTTTTGCTAAAAGGTAGGACGGTGCATTGTACATAACAGGAATATTTTATAATTTTTGTTTGTGTAGCGGTGGACTGTCTGTTGCTTGTGAGAAATGTTTTCTAATACTTCAATGCCTGTGTCGCCGCAAATTCCTGGTGAGGGCTTGACACAATCTTTTTTGCATGGATATACTTTGTCAACTGTGCCGAGTTCGCGTGGCTTTGTATCAAACGCGGAAACTTTATCGCCGTATCCGGACGGAGTTTGTGTGCGTGTTGCTCGCTCCTGCCATTCAAATCCAACGCTGCTGGAGACGACGACTTCTACGGCTTATCGAGCTCGCGCCAGGTCACATGTCTTTCCGAGGAGATTAGTCTCTCCTGGATCATACCAGAGGAAAACGTCTCAAGGGCTTGGAGATAGTAGGTCTGTAGCGGGATTTGTGGAGCGTGGCTGGATGTACGCCCGGGACGATAAAGGTGGTAGGAATGATCTTGGCTACTGGTCAGTGAAGTACTTTACAAATGGGGGCGACTATGTGGGGTTAACAAAGTTGGTGAACCCCTGGGGGGATGAACCCCCCACTTTTGAGGGTGTCGTGGGCGCCATTAAGGAAAACGCGTTGCTGCTGGGGATTAAAGTCGCGTATGTGACGTATTTTGACAAGGACTTTGATACATATGCGCTGCTGACACCCCGCACTGTCCAGAACTGCGGAGATGCCTTTCGTGTCGTGGTGGAGTCCATCTCGGATGCAGCCAAGCAAAGTCTCAAGTTGGAGCTCGAGGGTGAGGCTGCAAAAAGGAGGGATGACGCAACTTTGCGCAATTCTTCGGGAAAAAGTGACAAGGTTTCTGCTTTGAGGCAAATGGCAGGACTCTTTCTGGCGCCAAAGACACCTTCTCGTGCGGCACAAAGCGCAGATAAGGCGGATCCTCCAGTGCCAGAGGAGTGGGTGGCAAAGCAGGCACTTGTGTCTCAAGAGGAATCCAAGCAACGCGAGGCGATATCGGCTGACGAAGAAAGCTGGCGGCTGATTATACAGGCAAGGGTGAATGTGCAACTGACTTTCTGGCCAAGAGGCTGTCTAAGTTAGTCGAGATGACACTCCATTTGCTCCGCTTTGCCGAATGGCGATAGAAGAGAGGGGCAAGTGAAAAAAGATAGGGGGATGATTGGGGCTGATGAAATTCCCATTACTGAGCGTCACGTAGTCTTTTTTTTTTTTTTTCCACTATGCGGGCTTGTTGCTATTCCTGCTGCTGTGGTGTCAGTGGTATATATATATATATACGTTTGTATGCGTGTATGTACGGGTGAGATAGTGGCGATAGGGGTCAAGTGGGGTGGGCGGGTGCATCTCAGTGAGGAGCGTTGCCTTGTCTTGTATGAGTTGATTGCGATGAAACTCCTTTTGAACGTTTGGGAATTATTTTACGAGGACATCCATTAGGAGGCGACGCTGTGCGACGTGTGTGGTTTACGCCGCAGCAGGACATATTTAGGAGGCACTTGGTGACAGTGAATTCTGGGGCATCGTTTTTTTTTTTTGCCCTGTGCGTTGGGCTATTGAGGCTGAAATAGAAGTGACGCTTTGACCTGCAAGGGGGTGTTTTGTCTTATGCAGTCAATGGACGTGGAGGACGGATGCTGCCATCTTTAAGAAATGGAAATCGTATCGCGGTGGTGGGGTGCTCGATGGAGGTGTAAACCGCCGCAAGGCAGCCAGTATGTACAGTACGAGGGAACAACAACAATAAATGTGTGTGTTCTTTCTTTGTTGGAGGGGGGAAGGAAGGGGGGCCCTTTCTCAACGTTCTCTGGAGGATGATTGCTTGTCAACATATCGCAGTTCCGTGCGGGCGTCATGAGGGGAGGAGAAGGAGGAGAAGGAGGAGGAGGAGGAAGAGAGAGCAGGGGGTAGTGGGATAAGATTCCCCTCGCTGCAAGGTGATAGGTGCGATCATTTTGGTAGGACCACATGTTGCCGGCGGTATCTCTTGTGCCGTGACATCGGTAAATTATCAGGACTGTCCTGCGATCATTCTGAATTTCTCTCACCCCGTTATTTCGGTGGGGCTTTTACCGAAGACAGCCAGCACAATGTGAGTGCGCGTGTCTATTGTGGAAAGACATGTTGCCTCGGCCACGCCAATGTAATGAAGAATGTTTTCTTTTGGGATGAATGGACGGATGGATGCGTGTGTGTGTGTGTGTGCGTGCCTGGATTTTGACCAACGCGCGTGTCTCCATCTCTTCTTGTGTGTGTGAGTGAGTGTAAAGATGCATATATCGCTTGTTGTCATTATTATTATTATTATTTTTTATTTTTCTCTGTCCCGAATTTTTTTTTTCTTTTTGTTACTACAGATCTATGCACATACATCTTTTGATTCCACGTGATCTCATTCAGGGAGGGTGTGTGTGTGAAGAAAATGGGGGGGGATGCACGCTGCATGAGCCCTAGTGAGTGCAACAGCAACGGCGAGAAAAGAAGTGAAGTGCCAAATATTAAACCTTCCCGCTTTTTTTTTTTTTTCTTGTTGTTTTTCTTCTTCTTGGTTGTCCACAGATATTGCGTGGAGCGCAGGTGTTTGGCCGCCTCATTAATTTTCCCTTCCCGTTGACGGTGTATGCACATGTATGAATGTATGTAATTAGTTATGCATGTATACGTATATATATATATATATTTATACAGTTACGCTTTATTTTTTTTTTAATTTGGATTATCGTTTTTTTTTTTTTTTTTACCAGCTTGCCGGCGTTGTACACATATATACATATATTTTTCCTCACCGTCTCTCAGCCTTCACTTTCTTTTTTTTTGCCGGGACACTCAGTAGAAGACGGCGTTTTGTGCACACGGAGGGCATCGGTAAAAGTTATCTCTGCAACATGCCACCAAAAGGATACGTTCGACGCGCTGTCGCTGCTGCTGCGAGGCGGGATTTTGGCGTCACCACCGCATTTACCCCGACCGCCGAGGAGGAGGAGGCGATAGGGTTGCCAGCGCAGTTGCAGCAGCTGCAGAAACGCCGCGAGGCTCTTGAGAGCCATTTGGAGACATTAGACTTGCGCGTGTATGATCTGGAGACGGTGTACCTGCGGCAATACGTGGAGCTGGGCGGCTGTCTCTTCGACGGCTTTGGGTTGGAGCGGCAGCAGCAGTGGGGTGGCGTCACCGCGGCGGCAGCGGCGGGCAGTCAGGCGGCCGCCTACCGTGCGCGGCTGCACTCCTTTTCGCCGAGTGATCGTGTGTTCACGGCATCCTCGGTGGGGGCGCTGGGTACGGTGGAGCGCCTCAAGACAATGGAGGCGACAGGCGAGGGGAAGAGGGGCGGAAGACGCAAACGCTCACGCACTGACATTTGATTCACTCGCCACCATTTTTAAATGGTGCCCGTATGCATTTTTGTGTTGCTTCTTCCTTTTTTCTTGTCTGGCTGCTTTCCTCTTCTTTTTTTCTTCTTTCTTTTTTTTTTTTTTTTTTGTATCGACTTTGACTGACGAGACATTAACGTTTTTTTTCCTGCTGCGTCCAGTCACTGACCGTAGTGACACACACATACACACACGCAGGCAGGCTTCCGACAAGAACAACAAAAAAGGGAAAAAAAAAGGGGGGGAGAAGCGAAGTAAATAAATAATAATAATTGTAACCATAAAAAAAGAAAAAAAGGGGAAGGGGTCTATCACTCAAAATCTTTCTCCCCTTCTTTCTTTGTCTCTCTCTCTCTCTCTGTCTCTGTGCGTGTGTGCGTTTGTGTTGTGTTGTTTTTGTGGTAATGGCATCACAACTTGCCTCGCAGCTGCAGAAGTTACAGCAGCGGCCTGTAGGAGACAAACGACTGTCGCAGTCGTTTTTGTTTGATGCCAGCGAGGCGCGTAGTTTCTCACGGGAGCAGATTCATCAACTTGCCGTTCATGGCCTACAGACACTTGTTGCGATCGATAACCGCTTCCACCCATTCATTGAGGAACTGTTCCACCCGTACAAAACCCGCGTGGAGCGAAAACTTTTGAGCTTGGAAGAAAATCGGGCCCTTGACGCAACCCTCGAGCAATTCCTGACACTGCTCAGTCCACACATGTTTTTGACGGCGGCCCACCAGGTCTTCGAGTACCTCGTGCGTGTTCACGAGGTTCATGTGCACAATGTGGAGGCAGTGCTTCGGACTTTTCTCCCGTATCATGATCATAGTCTCTTTGCTCGCGCGGTGATGCTGCTGGATCTGCGTGATACAGGCTTTGCATTCCTTGAGAGAAACCAGGAGCACGGCGCTCCCCTTTTGCGGGAACACCTGATACTGGCCTGCGCAGAGAGTCGGAAGGCTCTGCGGATCGTATGCCTCACTCTTGCCATGTCTGTCCGCATGAAAGTCCACAACAGCGCGGCAAATGCTCTTTTTTCCGGTGTGGCGGTGCGATTGGCTTCGCACCCCGATGCGGAGGCGTTGTGGCGTGTTTTGTTGCCTTTTATCGTGGAATTCCTCAGTGGTGCGGTGTCAGGAAGCGAGGAGGGAGGCGCGCAACAGGAGTTGCGGCTGCAGGAAGATACCCAGGGTGGCAATGCCGCGTTGCTGCTTCCGAGCCGGGAAGTGGTGTGCAGCGCTCTCGTTGTTTTGGCTGCGTGGAGCAATGAGGTGCAGCTTTCCGTGCCGACACTAGCGACTGTAGTCAAGCCCATTGCTCGATTTTTAACAAGAGCTGCAGATCATATGGTTGCTGCATCATTGTCGTCGTCGTCTTCTGCTGTTGTTGCTGCCGTTGTGCCAACGAGCGACTTGTTGGCTGTCCTTGACCTTCTTTTCTATACCCAACGGACAGCCGTGACGCAAGTGACTTTTGTCCCGCATGTCCAATTGCTACTGGCGTTGCCATGGAAGCAGTGGGCGCCATGGATCACAGCCGCTGCAGAGGAGGCGGCTAACGCTGGCGGTGGAATGTATGACTCGCTCATTGCTGTCTTGCTTCGCCAGTGCCTTCAACGACTGTGCGTGGCCCATTCACTAGAGTCTGTCGCCCCTGATTTACTGCATTTTGTGCACTGTGCCGTGAATGATCTCCCGCTTACGGAGGAGTTGGTGGCGGAAGTGATTGAAGCTATGATGGCATGCCATGTACGGTATTCCGCATCGGGGAACCGTGATCCAGAAAAGACGAATAAGGAGGAGGAGGAAGATGAAGAAAATACGGCGGCGGAGGCTCATGGAAGCAGATCCAAAGGGGACTCGGTGGTCACAACGTGGATCAGGGCATTGGAGCGTCGTTTCGGTCACGTGTTTGACGCCACTTTATCGCGGCTGTTGAACGGCGTCACTACACAGGCCGCGACGACCGCATTTCTTGCACAACACCTCAGTGGCACTCGCTATGAGTTGTTGGAGGTGCAGGGATCCTCCGGCAGGACCGAGCGACTTCCTCTCTTCTCTTGTTTGTTACATCCCCTGCCGGAGGTACGGCTGCTGGCGGCGAAGGCGATGGATAGCATGACGGTACAGCAGCTCATCAAATCGTCGTCGGCTCCCGGAAGCGGCGGCGGAGGCAACTCACTGCTGGAGCTCCTCGAGCACGTCGTGCAGTACGAGCGGTTCCGTATTGTGGCAGAACAGTTTCTGCGTACGGCCGCCACGACGATGGAGAAATTGCTCGCGTTGTTGGTGAACGGGGAGGCTGAGGAGCTGACGGTGACGATGATGGCGGCACCCGACAGGGGCTTCTCTTGTACGGAGCAGGACGTCATTATTCAACACCTGCGGAACATTCTCCGTTCGCTGTGGTTGATGGCCACGCAACATGGCGTTTCTGTGCAGAAGGACTTTCTCGGTCTTGCACTGCAACCACTTTGGCGGTTTGTAGAGGCCCGCCGCTTAAAGTCTTCGTCAGGGAAAAGGAGGAAACACGAACATAAAAGCAGCAGTGAGACCGATGCCTTTCATGACTTTATCAGGGGGTTGGCACTCTACTACGTGACGCTGCAATATGTGGATGCGGTGCATCAGGAATCGACAGGGGAATTCACGAATGAGACCTCGGAGGAAAGGTCGGAAGCAGCGCGTCAGCTGCGTGAGCTGATTGTGGAGTTGGAGAGGCGATTGACCGCTGTCGTGCCAGAGATGTGTCGAACGTCTGATTTTTGCACCGTTGTGGCAGAAGGCGCCGCATCAAATGCCGAGAAGAATGAGGCGGCAAGCGATGTTAGCAACGATGAGGCTAATGGGGAACAGGACGGCAAGAAGGCGGTGAAACGGACGGAGGGGCCCAAACAAGTGACCAGCAGTCCCACCGCCACTGGAGGAGTTGTCAAGAGCGGGTATCTTTCAGTATTTGAATGTGTTCCACTTTTGGAGTTGCTGCGGGCGGAGGCTCATGCGCAGCTGCGGGCGGCGTTATCGCGGCTACAGGGCAAGGCAGGGCAGGGGGAGCACCGCTTCTCGCGTGAGTCGAGGTCAACGATGATGGAGTGCTGCTTGGTATGTGCGTCACACTTGGCAACGTCTGAGGCATCCGAGGCGGATGCCGTGATTCGGATGCTGCTAGTTTTTTTTGTCGGGGAAAACAACACCACCACTGGCTCAGGCACGAAAGCCGATGACAGTTACTTAGCGAGATTGCGGGAGGCACAACGTGCGGCGTTGCGGCAGGTGAGGGAGCAGGTTGGTCGTGGCGCGAAGAACAGTCTGGTGGCCCCATACCTGCCGAAGGATGAATTGACAGCGGCTATGGGGACGGCTGTGCGCTGCAGCTTAGAAGTGCGCCTGAGGAACGACAGCTGCACGTGTGATGGGGTGGCGGTGTGGGAGCGCATGACTCGCCTCCTTGGCTACTTAAGTACGCCGTTGCCAGCTGTGGCTCTGAGTCCCATGCGTCTCCCACCGGTTTATTTAAGACTCTTGGAGCCAACAGATGCTGCTCGCGAAGAGGAGCGCTTTCCAGTCGACTGGTTCAGTCTTGTCTACACGTCGGTATTCCGGACCCGTGGTTGCGTTTCAGCGACGGAGACGCAGCAGTTTTCACTGTCGGCCTTGTCCCTCACGCTTCTCTGTCCACTTGCCGCACCAACGAGTCGCAGGGAATCTCTCCTGCAGGAGATTCAGAACATAGTTCTCACTGCAACGCGAGAAAAGGGTGACGTCAGCGGAGTCAATGGTGCGACGACTACTGCCGCGCAGATCTCCGTGGAGTTGGCGTTGCGGGTGGAACACATTTCTGCCACTACGCTCAGCGCCATCATCGAGTCGATGGCTTGCGAGGAGTCCCGCCGCCCTCCTACGCGTGGTGCCGCTGAACTGCTGTGCCGCATGATGGCCAGGACGTGTGGGAAACAGAAGGAGTTGGAGCCAATAGTGCCGTTTTGTCTCTCCTGTCGGGCACTGGAACACTTTTTCCCTCTTCGGGGCAAAGCCGCTCGCGGTGAGGGGGCAACAAGCGGCATCGCAATGGGCATCCTTTTGCCGGCGCTGAAATCCATCCTGACGACGGGTGGCAGCATTAGTAACACCACCGCCAGCAGCAGCAACAACAACGAAACTGCCGCCAATGACATTCCCGCCGCGGCCGTGGCGGTGAGTTCTGCAGCTGCGGATTTCTTGCATGCTGCATTTTTGCGCGCAGAACTTGGAACGCCGTCGGACGATGGCGAAGATGCATGTTTGCAGCTTTGCCTGGCTCTCATCCAACACCCGTTTCTCCATGTCGTTGGTGGGCGTGCCCGTCCTGTGTATCGTCACGCTCTTACCGCCTTTGCCAACGCCCTGAGCCGCGGGTTGGAGGGACGAAAGTCCAACCCTGTGCTATTCATTCCACAAGGACGGAAAGGTGAGTCATCGTCGACGTCGATAGCACCTTCACGTGGCGGTAACAAGGCATCCAATAGCGAGGAGAAGTATGCGCAGCACCTCGCCGCTACGGTTTCCCACGCCTTACTGAGCAATCCCGCGTCTCTGAACCGTCTCGGTGGTGACGCGACACTTCTCCTTGCTGGGACACTTGGCGGCTACTACCGTCTCTTCCTGCCGTGGGTGTCGCGGCTTCTTCAGCAGCCTTCCCCGGAGCTGTCGGTCGTGGTGGATGTGATGGAGGCACTCGCGGCACCGGCGACGGAGATGGCGGATGCGTGGGAACCACCATCGTGGTGTGCTTTGTATAACCCGTTGTCGTATGCGGACGTGCAGCGTCTTTTACAGTTGTGTGGCAAAGTATGGAATAGTTCCCTGGGCGGGAAGGAGGGATGGTGCCCGCGAAACAAGGATGCCCTTCTTGCACTGCGTTTGTTTTGCAGTCTCATCACTGTTTCCCCGTCTGTTCATTTTGACGACAATGACGATGACGATTCTTCGCCGTCACTGTTCACAGTCATTGATGGAATGTTGGAGACTTTCCCTTTGAGCGGTTTACTCCCGCTTCTTGCGGAGGCGGACGATTTGGGCGAGCCGCAGTTCCGCCGCCAGGTGTTTGTGTATATTCGCAGTCTGGTGAACCTTTGCGTGTCGTCACCGCAGGCGTTGAATGAGGGGCAATCGCATGGCGCTGCTCGTATTACTCGAACGCTCGTGAGAGAGTGCGTCACATTGATGGCAGCGTTGCTCGTACCCGATGTTGCGGCGGCAGGAGACGAAGAGGGAAGAGAAGGAGAAGAGGCGACAACGTTGTCTCGTCACCGAATTGACGTCATCACCGAGCTCTTGCGTGTTGTTTCCCCTTTGTTTGTGCCGGCACCATCGATACCTGTCTCTGGGCCGGGGGGGTCGCGTGTAGCCGGACGCACGGCGCTTCATATCCCCGTTGTGGCGCTCCTCATCCGCCTGGAGGCTGTCGACTTTGCCTCCGCACACCACCGGTACGAAAGTGCGATGGACGTGTGCAGCAGCCTCCTGGAGGGCTTCGACGTGCACACGCAGCTCAGCTGCCTCACACAAATGATGCACCTTCTGATCGATCCACACGAGCAGCTTTCTCTTGCGGCGGCGCGGCGGAATGGGGAGGAGGAAGAGGAAGAGGAGGAGACTGCGGTCATTAAACTTTTCCGTAAGTTTGTGAAACCAAACCAAGTGATCAATCGACAAGAGATGATTTTGCATCTTATCAACACCACCGTGAAATCCGAGGCCTTTTTGAGTGGGTTCCTTGAGTTGCAGCATCACCAGCATGCCTCTCGTAGTTCGCATGCAAAGCTGGATGGGGAAGAGAATGAGAAGGAAGAGCGTGCAGCGGTTCTGACGGGGTCGCGCACAAACGATGAGTGCATGGCGATGTTAGTTGCTACCCTTGAACTCTTTGCGCACTACGCGGAGCTTAACGCTGCCACAGAGAATGATATAATGGTTCCCGTGTCAGTGAATGGAGCGAAGAAGGGAACAGAGATGCAGGAAGGGTTGCCTGAATATGGTGAGAAAAAGGCCTTCACAGTGTTGTTGGAACTGCTCGCCGGTAACACTCTGGCATGTGTACTTGCGGGTATTAATGAGGCGACCTTTGTGGCCTGTCTTGAACGACTTCTCACGGATCAACGTGCGGCACTGCAGCAGAAGGGACTGGAGGTGTTGCTGGACCGCCTGCACCATGCGTTGCCGACGGTGGAGAACACACTCAGTGAGTCGGAAGTGGAGGAACACCGGAAACGGCTGCGTGATCCAAAGCAAAAGCTCACATTGATGGATCTTGTTCGTGTGAAAGCCCGTCCGCTGGCAACAAAGCGATCATTTGCACTTTTTTCACATCTTTTTTCACTGATGCGTGCGTCTGTGGACTGTGCCTCAACACATTCAGCTGGAGTGGATTACTTGCATCCGCTTCCGCTTATTGTGGGTTGCATGGAGGAGCTTGTGCGCATTATCAGTAGTGGTGGGAGTTTGCAGGCGGAGAAGACATTACTGAACGTTCACCGCGCGAACCGTGTGACGGAAGCCACATTGTCCAAGCTATTTGGGAACAAGGCCCGCGTACAGTCTGTGCATCGGTGGGTAGAGGAAATTGTTACCGTATTGCCGCTCATTCTTTCCCGGGCAGGTACAGGGATGCCTGCAGAGCGAACAGTAGCCACCGGTGGAGACACATTTGCTTCATCGAGGAAAGAACATGCACTGCTTGCTGCTGCCGCGCTGTTGACGGCACTTGGGACGGTCTGTCAAGTGATGGGGACGGCCTTCACAACGCCACACAGCAACAACATTCTTCAGGCCGTGGTAGAGGTGGCGGTGTTTGCCGTGGTGCGTGTTGCTCCTGTTGTTTCCCGCAGTGAGACCGGGTCTCTTCTACGTCAGGCATCGCTTGGATGTTTGTTGCGCGTCTTTCCGTCGTGTTGGCTTATGTGTCAGCCGTATCTTTCACGTATTGTTTTTGCGGCAACGCACCTGCACAACGTGGATGACACAGAGACAAATTACCGCAGTGCGGAGACATTAGCGATGTTAGAGGCGGTACTTGAGCCCCACCTGTTTATTGAGGCCTGCACGGAGTGTTTGCGTGGCGTCACGGTGGACACGGACACAAATTTGGGCAGGAGGCCCATTCGGGTGCGTGTGGACTCACACTCCTTTTTCTTGTTTTACACCAGCGTGCGGCGACGTGTGGAAGGTCTGAAGCGGGAGGAGCTTATGCACCTCCATGTGCTCGTCGATGGGGCAACGATCAAAGAGAACTTTTGGCTTGCCTCTCTTCACGCACTCGCCACTGCGCCGTCACTTCCGTCAGGTGACATTGTGCAGCCGGTGCTGGAGGCCTACATGGCATTTTTCCTCAAGTTTAAGGCAAAGCAGTGCGTACGGTACCTCTCGACCGTTGCCGAGTGGGCGTTTGGCGGTGCCGCCGAACATTTTCTCAATCGTGTAGAGAAACAACAACAACAGAAGGATGAAATGGAGGCTGAAGGGGACACGCGTGAGAGGGATGACACAGCGTTGGTGCCCCGCACAACCGTTCACGGTTGGGTGCTTTTTTACGCTCTATGCAACCACATGTTGGAGAAACTGGGGTCCATCATGGATTTTGGTTTTCCTGTTCTGCTGCCGTATGTTGTTGGGACACTGACAGGATACTGCTCCGCCACGCAACACGCCATGCAACACGCGGCGGGTCTCATTGCGCTGACACTAGAAGGAGCGCTGGATTGCGTGCGCCGAATGGCGCTCGCGCAGACGGCTGGGCCTGATCATGACCACAGCGTACCTATGGACAACTACTTGGAGACGCCGGAGGTGTTTACTTCCGTCATGCCGGCGGTGGTGCGGCAGTTATCAAACCTGTCGTACTTGGCGGACGCCACACACGACTATGCCTTCCGTGCGGAGCACCATGTCGTTCCCGCCGTGCGGGCCCTGTTTCAGTCCCTCACATCGTCCAAACTGCAGAGCAGGACGCAGAACGAGTTGCTGAAGGCACTGCGTCACCCGAACCGTCATGTGCGACGCATGACGCTTTTGTGTCTCGACGGTATTTACGCCGATGGCGGGGACGAGTTGGCAGCGCGGTTGATGGCTGAGATGTTGCCCGCCGTTGTGGAGATGACTGAAGACCGCGATGATGATGTTGTCGAGCAGGCAAGAACACTCTGCAACAATCTGTCGGCGATCACGGGGCAGGACGTGCTGTACGCCATGAGCTCTTAGCCGGGCACGTTTTTCTCTTTCTATGCGGCTTGTTTTTAGGAACCCTGACCTCCACAAAAGGGGAGGAGTCCTGCGAATAGTAGGCGGCATGAGCAATTAGTGTAGTGGAGGCCCAGTGAGAGAGAGAGAGAGGGAAGGGAAGAAGAAGAAGAAGAAGAAATAAAGCGTCACAATAATAAATAAGGAAGAGACAAACAAACATCAAAACGATCAAAAGAAAAATAATAAATAATAAAATATAGAAAGGCCATTTCCGATTCTCTGCTTTTCTCCTTTTCCCCCCTCCCCGCCAAACAATTGGGACGGGGATGCACGCAAGCGGATGATGTGATTTTTTAAAACGCGTCCATTTTATTTTCCCTTCTTTTTATTGGGGTCTTTTTGTCTTCTTTTCCCCCTTTTTTTTTACTCCCTCTTGCATGCCGAATGTCTGTTATTCTGTCTCTTTGCTCGGATGTCATGGCGACGGTCCTTTGTTCTCTTTTCAGCCTTCATTACTGTAGAAGAGTTTGAGTGCCAAATGCCCACGCCATTACTGCGCTTCAGCAATGCCACCACTTCGGTGGTGGGGGTCCCGCCTCTGCGTGTGTACCGCTACACGACACCGACGCCGATTGGTGAGTGCGTTGTGCTTGTTGATGAGGAGGGTGCGGTGTGTCTGTGCAACTGGACGGACTGCGAGGAGGATGCAGTCTGCCGACTACGGCGGGCTTATCAACCGCGTGAGATTTTGATCGAGGAAGCCGCGGCGACCGCAAAAGAGGAGGAGGAAGAAGAAGAGGACGGTGACGACAGTGAGACGAGTGATGCCCGTGCGTACGCGGTACTGCAATTGCGGCGATATTTCAGTTATTCCTTCCCCCCCCATGAGGGGCGGCGGCCGTGATACATCCGTTTCTTTTTGCCAGCAAAAACTGCACGCACTTTTGGATGGCGTTCCCATTCGGTGCCCGCCGTCGACGTCATTGACGCAGGCTGCGTGGGCGGCGCTTCGTGAGGTGCGATTGGGTGAGATCACGACCTACGGCGCACTTGCGATGCGATGTCAACGACCGAGTGCCAGTCGGGCGGTGGGGCGGGCGATGCGTGAGAATCATGTGTGCCTCTTTCTGCCGTGTCACCGCGTCGTTGGGGCGTCGCGGGCGTTAACTGGGTTCGGCCCCGGCCTGTGGCGCAAAGTGTGGCTGCTGCGGCACGAGCAGGCGGCAATTCCGGCGAGGCAGCTGCAGCGTGTGGAATCCGTGCCGGGGACTTCACTAAAGCGTGAAAGGGCGTAGGAAGTGAAAAAACAAAAGAAGGTCTGACCGCATCACCGCCTCTGTTTGTCTTACTTTTGATATTTGCTAACGGCTTCGTGTTTTTTTTTTGTTCTGTGCGTGTTGCGGTGCGACTTGAGTGGAGGGGAGGTTCACGTGCTCCGCCATTTCTCTCATACACACTGCGGCGGGTATTTTGTCCAAATGGCCGAAGAGTTAAGGCGCATGTTCTTTTTCTTTTGTTACTGTGAATAACTGTTAGGAGCTTGTGAAACGAATGATCGCGGGAGGGCTGGCTAACTTAATTAATGTATGTGTATCCTGATAAATGAAGGCGTTCTTTATGATACTTTCTACCGTATGAATCTTTTGGGAAGAACGCGACTTTGTAGGGGCAAGGAGCTGATAGGAGCCAGATAATGTTTGTTTTTATTTTGCCATCCCACCCTAACCCTTTTGATTCCCACCACGCGGCGGGGTCTTGTGGTTGGAGGAGCCCAAAGTCTGCCACTTCGTAAGTAATAATATTTCAAATCCTAACTGAGGACAAAGGACCATGCTGGTGGTCCACGGAATTCTATATATTGAATGAAAATAAAACATTGAAGCAATTAACTAAAGAACCTTTTTTCCTAACTTGTTTGGTTTCCACAGATTATCAGGATCTGGCCAGCTGCTCGGAAGATTATTCTGCTTCTATCCACCCTTCTCTTCCTCCCGCATCTCATTATCGAAGTTAGCTCTGCGGTTTCTGCGCGAGGGAAACACACACAAAGAAGAAAAAGTGCAATCGCTTTGACGATAATTTTCTCACCTTTTCTCTCCTTGGTGTAATTAAAATTTTATTTTTTAAAATTATTTTTTCCTTTTGCTCTCATTGTTGACTGTCGTCACCGTCGTACAGTGTTGCTGTCGGTGGGAAAGGAGGAACAGACAATTAACTGCGTGTGCGTTTGTGTGTGGGTCTGTAGGCGTCAGGGGATGGGCGGCAGTGATGAGGCGGCGTCCATGTCAGCATCCACGTTGTCGACGCGGCAGTTGCAGGCGTCATCGTCACGCCCTGCAAAGAGACAAGGGGATCGGGTCGTCTCGCTGCAGTGCCCGCACTGCCCTCGCGTCATCACCGGTGTGCCGAGCAGGAGCATCCGCACCAACTACAACCGCCACCTTCTCACACATACGAAGGAGCGGCCATACCAGTGCGAGTTCTGCCTCGCGCAGTTTACAACCAGCACCAACCGACGCCGGCACGTTTTGCGACTTCATCCGGAGCTGATCACGACATGGTCGACCCCAACCACCGCGGCGTCTTCGGGGCACGAGACACACCTTGAACCGAGTGATGCAAGTGCCGTGGGGAGTGCCGCAGCGGGGACGGAAGCGGGGGCCTCACCGGCGACGGTCGGTTTTGCTTGTCGCTTCTGCGGCACGGAGTTGTCGTGCAAGGGGTCGCGGACAATTCACGAGCGCCGTTGCTCTTCAAGACCATGCCCACCGAGGGTGCTCCCCAAGCATTTGTCCCTGAAGCCTTCTGCATCGAATGTAGCGACATCTTCTGCGGAGCAGACAGACGATCCGGCCGATACAATCTTCTTGTGCCCCAACTGCGAGCAGGAGCTCTCTAGTCGCCAGCATGTCAAACGCCACCTGAGGTGCTACTGCCCCTTTCGCGAGGATGCGTTTGCGTCCGACAGTGGGGATGACGTTGACGGGGGGGATGAGGGGGTGGTGCGACTTGGAGCGCGGTCAGTAACCAAACGTAGTCGCCGTATTCTTTCAAAGCGCCGTGCAGGATCCGCAGAACGCTTCAAAGGCCGACCGCGACACGAGGGAGTGGGTGCGTTTTTTTCGGAGGAGGTGGATTCAACCGCACTTCGTGCGGCGGAGGTTTTAGTGCCGCCAGCCACTTACGGACAATCGCAGACCAACACAACCGTCACTTGCCCGTATGATGATTGCATGGCAACCTTTGCTTCTCGCACACGGTGGCTGGCACACGTTGCGCGTCGCCACCCCAAAGAACTTCTGCAGGAAGCGAGGGTGGGCGCATGCCCATGAGACGGTTCTTTTCTCCTCCCTTTATTTTCTCCTTTACGCTTCACGTTGACTGTAGCGGTCCACTAGCGTGTGCCTGTTACGCACACGAGCGTCAGGATTATGGGCACAGTGATGTGGGTGGGTGGTGGTAGGAACGTTTTGGCGTTGGTGCCGGAAAAGAGCCAAACGGCGGAGTTGTTTATTACTGGAGGGAGGTCTGGGCGGTTAAAAAAAAAGAAATAACAAAGACGAAAGGAAAACTCAAAAAAAAAAAAAAAAAGGTTTATGCATGGATGAATGAAGTGATGGGCATCACGTACTACAAATGCCTATTAAAATGACCATCATTTTACGCTCTCCTTTCTTTTTTTTTTATCCGGTGACCCTTTCTCTCGCTTTTTTTCCCCCTTTTGCCGTGAGGCTTAGCCGGAAGTGCAGCACATTGGTCATGGACCACGGTCGCATGCCCGCGTCGCTGCAAGTTGTGTCGTCGAAGGAATCCCGTACGGAACTCCTGGCGTGGTTGAATGAGTTGCTCCAGAGAAACGCCGCTGCCGGTGGACACTCCCTTCCGCGGCTGCATAAAGTGGAGCAGTGCGGCAACTGCGTACCGTATGTGCTGCTCCTTCCTTCACTGCTGCCAACGTCGTACCCGCCGCTCACGACGAAAGCCAAGACAAACGCCAAGCATGAGTTTGACGCCGTGGTAAACTTAAAGCTTTTTACGGATGCCCTGCAGAAGAATGGCATTCCGCGACCCGGTCTGCTGACCGAGGAGTCGGACAAGATTATCAAAGGGGCCTACCAGGCGAACCTGCAGCTGCTGCAGTGGTTTCGCGGTCTCTACGACGCGCTTTCACAGAGTAGGGGGGAAGGACAGGCGCGGAACCATTCATCGGGAAAGTCACTGGAACACGGCACCGCGGGAGCGTGCGGCCGAACGGGGAGCACGCATCTGCCGAAAGACCACGAAAGCCAGCCGATAGAAGTTGACAAGACATCAACTGCAGTCACCGTCGTAAAGGAAAATTCATTGAGGTCGTGTAGGGCTCCATCGGTTCGGGTAGGCGCGTCCTCGCTGCCCCCCTCCGCACACAGCCAAGAAAGCGCTTCCAAACCCGTTCCATTGACAAAAAAGACGGCAACTTCCTTTCATGATCCGTTGAGTTCTTCAGACTCTCGTCCTTCCGTCGCGGGAAGGCAGGCATCGCAGGGGAGAGCAGGTCGTGTCTCCACTGGCCGCCACGACACCACAGTGCGGTCCTTGTCGGCGTCGAAGGATCGACATGCGAGCACCGCACGAACCCCCTTACGCAGATCAGGGGATGGTGCAGCGATCACACGCCCCGTGTCGTCGATGTTGCGAAGTAGTAACGGCACAAAACGCCTGGAGGCCGGACGAGACCCGGTCGCGGGACCGAGTGGCAGAATGGGCGGCAAAGAAAAGAGTCTTGCACGCCCCAACGGTGCAGACTCTCTGCAGGCCGTGGCAGCAAATTCCACCACCACCAACACCACCAATAACACCAACACGCTTTATGCATCACGTAAGAGTAGCGTCACCCGCCCTCTTCTGGACTGCAGAAACACGGACACCAACGGTCGCTTCGTCTCCCCCATGACGGGGAAAAAACGGTTGACGGCCCCACACCGTGGGCCTAAATCACCGTCCTTGAGTGCCTCGCACAACGCACATACGGCGTTGATTCAGGTGGTGGAGACCGAGACGCCGGCGCATTCTCGCCATGGCTCGCAGTCGATGAGTGAATGGGGGAGTGACGACAGCGCGACGGCGTCTGAGATGCTCATAAGGGTGAGGAATGAGAGACAGTTTTATTACGATAAACTTCGTCAAATTGAGAGTATCGTCGGGCCGTTGGTGAATAAAAGTGAGACATCAAGGGAGGTGAAGCATTTAGCTCAATCCGTGTTGGAGGTGCTGTATGCACTAAGTTAAAGGGATCATGAAGCAAAACGAGAAAAAAAAAAAACAAAGAAAAAAGAGGGGGAAAACTCTTCTTCAAGAAAAAACAAAACAAAACAAAAAAAGGAACATGAAAAGAGGAGGAAAAAAGGAAAAAATGAAAAAAAAAAGCCCTCCCCCCATTACCCCTTCTTCACATGCCACTGACAATGAAGATTTTTTGCTTGTTTTATGGCCTTTATTATTATTATTATTATTATTATTTTTCATTGTTCTCTACTTGTGTGCTCGTTGATGCTTCCTTCTCTCTCTCTCTCTCTTTTCCCGCCTCTTTTCCCGTCTCTTCCCGTGTTGTCATGATTAAACGCGGAAGGGAGGGAGGTGAATGAGTGAGTGGGGGAGTGCGTGAGTGGTGTTGTGTCCGCACCTGTGGCTTGGCGTTACCTATTTTCTTGTACGGTAATGTATGCGTGCTTGTGTGGTGGTGCGGTACGTGGAATGTATGTTGCGAAGAGTACACAGGCTGCAGTCAACATTCCTAATAATGGATGGGCCTCCCTCTCCCCTCTCCCCCACACACACGCGCGGGCGGGGAATTTATCGAAGGGAAAGGAAGCAAACGAATGCGGGTTTGTGGTGGTGAGGGGATGTGCGGCGGACGCACAAAATTGCTGTTTTCTTTTTTTTTTCTCTTTTTTCCTTTTTCCTTTTTCTCTTCCTCTCCCCCTCGCTCTCAGTGTGTGTTTGCCGTCACCCGCCGTTTCTCCTCCCCACCCTTCCTGCATGTACACGAGTGGAATGCGCGGCGTGGTTGCCTATTGGCATGAAAGGCAAAAAAAAAAAAAAAAAAAAGGAAAACGAAAAAATCAGGCAGAAGAAAAGGGGAAAAGAAGAAGAAAAGAAAAAGAAACAGACACACAATATATATATATATATATATATATTTCATGGGGAAAGAAAAGTCAAGTGCCATGTGAGTTTGTGTGTTTGTGTTTGCATGTGTCTTTACACCGTTTTTTCAATTTTCTACCGTCCCCAATTGCCTTTTTTTTTTTTCTTTATTCCGTTTATTGGCATCCACCTACCAATGCCCTTTTCTTCATTCTTTTTCTCTTTCTTCCTTTCTTCCTTTTCTTGATAGGTTTACGTGCGGGCCAACGTGTGTGAGGGGGAAATGGCATCTCTGCCTTTGGCGTCTCACGTGCCGGTTGGGTGTGACTTCTACAGCCGCATAAACAGCGTTAGCCACCAGTGCGTTGCAGTCGCGGGATACGGCAGAGGTGAAAACAGCAAAAATGCGGAAACACGCCACGGGAATAAGTTGCATGGAGCTGCTCCGTTGCCCCGAGAGGGCGGCCAGCCGCAGCGCAGCACTGAGAAGCAACTGCGATGGGTGCAACCTCCAGCGTCCAGTGAGATGTATTCACTTCCACCGCCACCGCCACCACCGCCAGTAAACAGCAGTAAAACGCCCCCTGCAACGGCGATGGCTGCAGCGCCGACGGCATCTCTGGTGCCTGTGGTGTCTCGTAGTGAAGCTGCACAGCAGGGGCGTGTGAATAGCATTTGCTGCTATGGATCCTTACAGACGTGGCCATCTAGTGGAGTCATTTCGAAAGACTGTGGAAGGGGGACGCAGCAGGTGCAGGAAGTGAGGAATATGAAGAGTAGCACGAACGACACTCCGACGCAGTGGCCAAATTCATACAGCCACGATGCGGCAGGAGGCAGTATGTATCCATACGGTTACAGTAGTATCCCCGTTGCTCCTTTTTCATATTTCAGTTGTGGAGCTTTTGGCCAAACAATTCCGCAAGCGTGTTCTTCTGGATCAATGTATTACGGTGCTTCTGCACATTGTGCCGCTGCCGCTGCTGCTGTTTCAGGTCACCAATACAATTACCAACATAATCAACATAATTATTATTATCATCATCATCATTACTGTAATCAGAACAGCCAGCCTTACTACCAAAATCAGAGTCAACATCATTACGCCCAGCATCAGTACATGTTTCATCATCATCATCAAAAAAAACAACAAATACAGAAGCAGCAGCAACAACAAAACACGGGGATGGATCCCTCACTAGCTACGGTATGTGACTCGGCGAATTCGAGCACGGAGAAGAATGGGGTTCCAACCACGGAGGCGCTGAAGCCGGTACGCCACGCGGCTCTAGCTACTCCGGATAAAGAGGAGGAGAAGGAAGAGGGAGGGGGAGAGGAGACGAGTAGCTTACCACGTGATCACGCGGCCGAGGGGCCTCCTTTAATTGATGGTAGTGAACCTTGCAACCCGAAAATAGTGCATGAACATCAGCCGCTTGTCGAGTCTGACAGCACGACCAGTAGAAGATGCAGGCAGGACCACACCGGAGGTCATATCCAAACGAGTACAACGAGGTTTGATGATGTTAACGGTAGCAGTAGCGTCAAAAGCAGTTGGGGTCCCGGAGCCGGTAGGGGCGAGGCAGCCACATTCACTTCCTCAGAAAACATTTTGGGCTTTATTCCCTCTTTTTCCCCGATTTCTGTGACGCCTTCGCAGAACACAGCGGATACGCCACGGCGTGCTTCGCTCCCTTCATACCATGATGCCATCATGACTCAGCGTGGGCAGGGCAATCACAGTTTATTCCCACATAAAACGTGTTGCACGAATGGACTGATTAGTGAGCCCCAGGAGGATCTCTTTATTTTGCGCACCGCACCTCATAAAAGAGAAAACAACTCCAAATTCTCCGTAGGGATTCCACAAGAGCCATTGGAGTATGAGGAGGAAATAAGAGCGTCTGAAAGTACTGAGGGAGTGCTTGACAACGGGTGGCAGCGCAATATGGCTGAGGGGCATCCTCGCGGGGAACCGTTTGAGGCGAGTCAAATCCCTCCCGTGTTTGCGTCGACGGACTCTATGCGGGCTCTACATCACCAGTATCATCATTGTTACTCTCAACAGCAACAACAGCAACACAAACATTATTATCATGATTCTTTTCTTTTACAGTCACAGACACTGTCGACAGGATTATTGAATGCATACGGCGCTTCCACAGCGCACCAACGGTCGCGGTCTTTCAATGCCATGACGCCAACTTCTGCTTCCTTTCAATGCCCATCCACAACCCAGGCATCAGGAGTCAACCGGATAAATGCCAATAACAGGATCCCCTTGAATGGGGCATCAATTACGATGGACTCTGGTGGTGGTGGTGGTGGTGGTGGTGCTGCTGCTGCTGCTGGAAGCCAGCAAACGAACATGCCTGATTTAATGTGGCAAAATTCTTTGCCCCTGAACAACAGTGTATCGGCTCCACTCGGTTCGAAAGGAGAAGGATATGCCGATGGAGAGTCTGCTTCTAATGCCATTCTAAGGGGTACACCAATTAATTCGGCAACTGTCTGCCAAAATATTCTTCAGGCGCCATTATATGAACACTGTGGGGCGCAGGAAGTTTTATTTGAGGAGAGAGATACAGAATTGCCGTTTGATTCATCGTCCTATGGAAATATTGTTTCATTTATTTATGCTGTCTCTCCTGTGGTGGAAATGGACCAGGAGTTGGAATGGGTTTCCCCTTCCTCAGCGGTTACTGTACCGCCTGGGCGAGAGAAAGTAGGAGGTGACGCACCGTCACAAACGTATAGGGAGCCTTCCATCTCACTTGCAAATATATGGAAGGCCTTGGACTTCCCCTTTGCCTGCAGGATTCCTTTTGCGGAGCCTGCTTCTTTGGCACCAATGCGTCCTCCTCAAAAACATTTAGTGTACGTTCCGTTTTTTAGTGGATTTCGGCTTCGATTTCTTGAAAAATCTGCGACATACGCAAAGCTCAAGTCTATATATCAGAGTACGGATGTTACTTCCCCCACTGCTTCTCATCCAGTCACAGCAAACCGAACAACTCACATGCAATCTTCTTTTTGTGACGGTGAATTTGTTGCCAATCTCGAGGTGAGTGCCGAAGAAAAGAATCGGAGTAACTCGGGTTCATCTTCTGTGGCACCAACATCTTCCAAGTTGCATGGGGCTACACAAGAGAATATGGAAGAGGTGTCACACGATGCAGAAATCGGGCTTTTAACATGGGGGGCAACGGAACGACCAGACCAACGTAGTCTCCTTCTGGAGCAGGTGCATGAACTGGCTGCATCCAATGAACGGTATTCCGTTCTTCTTAGCGCAAATACGACGGAGCTCGATAACCAGTCATGGTTTGCCGTTCTCTGGCAACCAGTTTATGATCAATGCCATACGGCCAAACATGGCTGTGGGAGTTTTATCGTTTATTATGCACTGCGACCGCCACGTCATGTGGCAGGGAACCGAGCATCAAGTGTTGTGACGATGATGAACGGCGACTGGTTGTCCCCTGTATTCCGTTGTGATCGAGAAGGCGTTCATTGGGAAATGTGGACGTCAAATATTTCAACGCCGATGTCATTACCATTGTCTTCTTTGGTATCCCCTTCACCGTGTGAGGGTAACAACGACAATGCGATGCGAGCTGTATGCATGTCACTTCTTGAGAAGGCCCCTTTTGCATCAACTGGCAGTGGTGGAGAGATGCAGACTGTCATGGAGACCTCAAGCGCCAGTATGGGGAGCCATGATACAAAGTTCTCGCCGTCTGGACGATCCTGTGCAAAAGCTTCCGCAAATGAAGTTTTTCGGAACTCACAGCATGCTTTTTTTTCGCCTTCTTCAGAGAAGGGCTCTACATATCATGGCACGGTACGTATTCCTGTTGTGGGAATTATTCCTAGTCGATGTCGCGCTGATGTCTGGTTTTTGCCGTGCCCACGTCTTAACTCACCAGAATCTAACGCTGGGCGGAATCCAAACAACAGTGGCACTTCTTCTCTTCGTCGCTATCGAGCCCCGCTATTCCTTCTCACCGCTGCGTTACAGCTGATGTCATGGAATGCGCTGGAGGGGTTTTGCCGACAAGCTATGCGGAAGAAGGGACTTTATGCCGTTGACAAGAACTTGGATGTTTCCCAGGATGAAGTGGAGGTGTCATTAACTCGTT